ATTACTTAATCCTATTAGTGTCCACCAGCTAGCTGTGCTTCTTGTAAACAAAACTATTTCTGTACTGTACAAGAACAGCTGATCTAACCCATTTTCTTTTACTCAATTCATGGCAAACATCACTGAATCTTATTCTTTCGACATCACATTTTATAATTAGGTACTAGCTTGTGTTATAAGTGAATATGCTGTCAAATGGGGCCCCATATCTTGGAGGTGCCTAAGGCCTACGAAAGTCTTAACCCGGCACTGAGGAGAGAAGAGGGGTGACAGTAAAGGGACGAATAAGGAGGCAGGGGGAGTGAGAGGAGACAACCAAGGCGAGGAGGAGGGGGGTGGGTCATTGGCTGAGGAGAATCTAAAAGATAAAAACAGGTTGTCAGGGGGGAGTGACTCGAGAGGGAGGCTGGGAAGGAGAGTACATCATATATGTTATTAAGGACGGAGGTTGGGACCGTATTGTGGGGGAGGGGGGGGCAGTGGATTAAGGAAAAGAGAAACATAATAAATCAGAGGAACAGGAGACATACCAAGTAAAATAATCTTGATCATGATATGGGGAATAATAATATTAGTAGCACGCTTGCCTCTCACCATTGTGTCCCGGGGTGGGTGTGAGAAGGTTGTTTTTATCCAGCCTAACCCAAACTACCATCGGACAAACCACTGGCTTCCTTCCAGTGTCAAAGAGGAAAAGAGTAATAGTGATAATAAACGTTACATAAATATTTAAAAAGACAACTTTAATAAACAATAGATAGTAATAAGTAACTAAGAAAAAGGTAAGTGCATGTAGCCAAGGACTATGTAGCCTCAAGGAAAGAAAGATGAACAGATGATAATAGCAAGAAGAGCTACGGCCTTATTTACATATCGGCTGAAGACCAGAAATTTAAAACAAGACAAATAGAATATCAGTTACTGGGCCATTATTATGTAAGTCTCACTTCCTGGCACCACACAGACTTTCATGTTATACAGTTTATAAACAAAAAACCGAGGCATAGCACTTACCTCGAGCTAGCCCCTCTCTGTGGGTTGTCATTGTAGGCTATGGTCTTCTCGTCGCTCATAAGCAATATGCAATTGTGTAATATGACCATGACCATAGCCTCAAAGCTCGGGTCCGACTAATTACCCAAATGTACCCAAATGTAGCTGCAATGAAGTCAAATAATGGTCCTACATGAATAAATCGGGTTACTAATCACTTCTCGACTAGTATTTGGTGTCACAAAGTAAAAAAAAAAATTGGAAAACGTAATTTAATTTGAGTTAATAGATCGCGTGCATGTACCGAGGGAGCGAGTAATTACCCAAATGTAGCCGCAATGAAGTCAAATGATGGTCCTACAAGAATAAATCAGACTGCCAATCACTTCTCGACTGGTATTTGTTGTCACGAAGTCAAAAAAAATTGGTAAACTTAATTTAATCTGAGTTAATAGGTCGAGTGCATGTACCTAACCTAACCTGACCTAACCTCGACTAGTATTTGGTGTCATGAAGTCACAAAAAATTGGTAAACTTAATTTAATCTGAGTTAATAGATCAAGTGCATGTACCTAACCTAACCTAACCTAACACAACACAACTCAGATTAAAGTAAGTTTTCCAATTTTTTGTGACTTTGTGACACCAAATACTAGTCGCGAAGTGATTAGCAGTCCGATTTATTCATGATGGACCATTATTTGACTTCATTGCGGCTACATTTGGGTACATTTGGGTAATTAGTCGGACCGTCAAAGCTCTTCTTCCTTGTCACTTAGAGGCCTTACGTAACATCTCACACACATCCCTTGGACCACCGTTTTAGGGTCTGTGAACGTGGTAGAATTTTATAATCCACTGGATGTATGAGCATACTGTTGATACTTCTTTAACTCACACTACTTCTTCCCGGGGTGCTTTATTCCTGTAATGACTCTTTTATATAGGATTCCTTGGCTATAACCAGTGACCACAACCATGGGCATCCACTGGATCTTTTTTTTTGGAGGGGTGGGGGTATACTGCCCATTCTGGGGTCACTAATCCTAAGGGGATAACTTAAATCTACTCTTAATTTTAAGGTCGCTGCCACCAGACCCCCTGGACAGTATGTAGCTTGTTTAGGTAGCTGGCATTGGGTTGGGTTTTTCATTGACCAAATCGAGAGTGGGAGGAAGGGTGAAACATCAATCATGACTTAACTAATTTATTCCTTAACCAAAACATATTGCATCCAATCACAATACAAAAATAGTTGGCTTTCATCAAAATGACTACTATTATCCATTACACTTTACACCAGTACACGACCTTCATCAAATACTACTATCATCATCTTCATTCTTCATAACAACCATTGACCTCCTTACCTCGGTCATTCCTTCTTACCATAACACTCAACACATCAGACTGCACCACATGTTAGATTACAGAATCACATGTTATATTATAGCACCACATCTCAGGTACACTCCACACCTACAAATATGGAACTCGTCGGTATTCTTCAGGTACACATACCAGGTACCTCGCTCACACTCTACTCTTGCTAGATAGATGGGATACTCCCCCAGGTAATCATACCAGTACTGGTTCCACGCCTGGTATCCTTAGGTCGCTCCACGTGGCGACCGAGAAACTTGTCAAACACACAATCGTGTTCTCATATCCTGGGTGGTGATATGTAGGGTATCCACAGATTCAAAGTGGAGGTGCATAATAGCCATAAGCAGTACACACCACACCCGGTGGGTTCCTCACAGTGGAGCAGTGGTGGTTGTTAGGCCTACACCTGTTTTGGTGAGAAGTTGGGCGTCAGTGAGCATGCCTGAGGGGCGTTTATATCACCACACACTATTACAACTCTATTACTTCACTTTATAATATTAGGCAAAGTTTTAAGATGTATATAACTGCTAGATAAGTCACTTGAGTGCTGATGAATCACGATGGAATTCATTGACCTGTTTTGGTGAGAAGTCTGGCGTCACTGAGGGCGATGCCTTGCGTCTCACACTGAACTAGGCCTACAGTTTCCAATCTTCAATTTTCACTTTGACATTATTCTGGTTCTCATATATACACTTTCCTATCTATTGTGACCTTATGCTTTATAATTATATATCTTAATTCTAAATTACATGCTAAAGTAAGGGTCTGGTTTGCTGGTTCCTGGGAAAATTCATTGGGCTATAACAATAACCCAGCACCGTAGCCCGGGGCGTCTTGGGTGCCAACATAGACTTTTACTTTTATCCTCTTCACCACTGATCGGCTAGTTAGCCGCTTGGGCGATCGGTCACGTCTCTGTTACTTTTCTTTTTCTTTTGTCCTCTTCACCAAATGATCGGCTCGTTAGCCGCTTGGGCGATCGGTCACGTCTCTGTTACGCACTGTTGGTAAGTACTGGGCATGCACCGGCTCCTGAATGTACCTGAACCTGCTCCAGTGTTGGTCAAGTCTGGTCTTGAAAGAGCCCACACTCGGTGCCGTCACAACACTTTCTGGAAGATTGTTCCAAGAGTTTACAACTTTCACTCCAAAAAAGTTTGCCCTCACAGTTTTCTGGACTTGCGGCTTCTTCAATCTTGAGCTGTGACCCCTTGTGGGGTGAGCGTCTGCCAGCTCCAAGTAAGGAAACTCGACTGAGTAGTGCCTAGGCTCATGTTTTCTTGGCGTGGGTGTATCCACTTCCCTTCAATCTGTATTTAGGGATCCTCCCCTCACATGTTGCAATCGTTGAACACATTCATAAGATTCTCTGATCATTGCACTGTTCGTGGTTATTCGTCACACGGGGTAAAGAGGTGTACTAAGCTCACACCGAGGTATGCAAGATATTTTCTTAGAAGTATACCTGTAGTTTCTGGCTCACTTCCAACACTTCACATATGTCTGATACATTTATTCTTTCTCCAGATCATTTTTCTCATATATTTTGATCTGATACCAGAGGTAGCTATGCTTACTAATCGTTCACAAACATAAATATTATGACCTTCAGACACGGTCTACACTTATCCCTTATAGTACACTAGTCCGTATCAATTGGACCTTCCTAATCATCGTATAGACACCTTGCGTTCTCCTTAATACTATAAGTACATACACTTAATATTATATGCCCGTACATTGGTATAATTCGTATAAAACAGCATACAGCAGGTGGTTATCCCTTACCAAAGTTTCTTGTTTTCTACCGTTTTCTGTGACTCTCTACAAGCGCGGTGGTTTTGAATGTCATGTAGCGTAATATGAATTAAAGAGATATTAAGGATGAAAACAATGTGCGGAGTGCAGGGGGGGGGGGGCAACAGTCCCCCTAGTGTTGTCATTCAGATTTAGCTGTTACCTAGTTCAAAATAAGGCCAGGCCAAGGTGCAAATATTACAAAGGAAATTACAATGGGATGAGGGAAGAGATGAGGGGTATCAACTGGCCTGACTCATTAAGGTACAAGAACGCAGACACTACGCTGAATATCATAACTAGTAAAGTGACCCATTTGATTGATAAATATATACCCAAGACCAAACCCAGTGCCTCTAGGAATACAAGGGGTTCCCTACACATGAACCATGCGGCGGTCAACAAAGTTAAGAAGAAAACCCAGAAATTCAAGACGTGGGTTGGGTCAAACGATGAGCAGGACAGGAGGTTTTATGTAAGAGCCAGAAACCAAGCAAAAATAGAGTGTAGAAGGGCTGAAAATGAGTTCCAGAGGCTGGTTGCAAGCGAGGTCAAGTCAAACACAATCTTAACCCTCTCAGCGGATGTCAATGACCACAGTTCATACATTCCTCTCTTAACTTTCAACATTGTTCAGTCTACTTTTACTTGCTTGTTATCTTCCAGCAACAAGATATATACAGTATTGTAGTCTGTGTAGGACTAGAATACAGTACAGTACTGTACTATATTATGTTTTCTCTCATTACAGTACTGTAATTACATATTATATCTGGCTCTCCATATAAGACTTAAACATAAAATGTGTTTCTGTACAGGACCTGAGCATGGAAGCCGGGGTGAGCATCGAGCCAGTTTACCCACAGGACCTGGTGAAGAAAATGGCCTTGAATATCAAGGACCTCCTCAACTCTAAGCGCCATGCCCTTCTGGTAAGTTGTGACGTAGTACAGTACTCTTTTTAACACCTCTTTATTCACACAGGTTAGATGAGGTGGGAGTAGAATGAACATAGCAGTTCATATGTACTGTACATTTGTGGACAAAGTTCCTTGAACACTTTAAGGAAGAACAATTACCCCGGTAATAGAATTAGGATTTTAGCATTTATTTACCGGTACTCAGATTATATTGTATTATGTATATTGTGGTTTTTTTTACTAAGAGCTCCCAACCATTTATCTCTCTCTCTCTCTCTCTCTCTCTCTCTCAGTAGCTGACTGGACTAATCATTGCACAGGATGTTATGGTGGTAGATTTAAAGGATTCTGCAGTAGAAATATTAAGCATGCTAAGGTGTTACACCTAGAGAGTTCTATCTCTCATAATTTTTAATTGTTGATTGTCGATGTAACATTGTAATTGCTGACCTGGTTACATGGTTAAAGACCTTAATTGTTGAAGCACAGCAATAACATTACACAGTAATAACAACAGGTTCCAGAATCCGAAAAGTGGAAGATGAGTAAACCTCACTATAGCTCATTCCATACCGAGGGAAACTTAGACATCTCACAAAATTGTGGCCAAAAGTTAAATAAAAAGATTTTTATTTTGGAGTCAAGTGGTTTTAAGTTAAGGTTTTCTATTATATGAAATTGTCTATAGGTCATGAAGTAATTCTAGGCCTCACATAAGTGAATGGGTTAGGGCTTCCACCATTCAGCAGGTAAGATGGAGACTACAGATGACAGTTTGATAGACCTTTGATTATTATAGAAGATGCATTCTGACATGTTCCTGTTTATAAACATTTCAGGAATTCTTTAACTTTCAGATTAGTAAAGCCCAATGCCAGTTCCACCTGCTGTAGTGCTTTGTCTGGTGTTTGGGCATACAGTTTAAAGCCAGTTAAGGAAGTAAATCTTAGTCTAGCTGTAGAATAATACACCCTACTACTGTGAATCAAAATATTAGATGAGGAATTTGATGACCTCCGTATTACTATTACAGTGGTCCCTCCATTAATGAACACAATTGGTTCCACAGAGTCGTTAGTTAACCGAAAATGTTGTTAAATGAATCTATTATTTCAATGGGATATTGGGTAATTGGTTCCAACTCACAGAAAAAGTACACACAAAGTACTGGTAATAGAATTAACAAAACATTAAATTTAATCTAATACAGTACTGTACTATACAGTATACTGTATAATAAAAAAAAAAAAATAGAATACTATATTTTAACATACTTTGAGGTGTGTATATGTCGTATTCCCGGCAGCTTTGTTTTCATATCAAACGGCTGATTGTAGAGGCAGTCGATGATGACATGCCATATTCTTTACAGAGTGCATTGGTTCTAATTCCTTCTTGTTTCATAATAATTTCTGCACTGTATATTATCAGTATGTGAACTAAATTTCAGAATGACCAATAATTGCAAAAATATTCAAGAGCACAACTTTCTTGATATTTACTCCACTGGAAACAAATGTAAACATAGAACCAATTACTGTATTGGCGGACTAGCCGATCAGCTGCTGCGCACAACAAAGCGTGTTTCTCGTAAGGCTTTCGTTAATCGAAGTTTTGTTCGTTAATGGAATTGAAAATCCTTATGGGAGCTAATTCATTAACCGAAATTTTGTTGATTGGACCGTTCGTTAATCGAGGGACCATTGTACTGTACTGTATAATAAATTTATTAAAGACATTTATAATTCTTACTGCTGATTTGATTTGATAATCAGCAGTTGATTACACAGGTACTCTACTGTATTCTGTTATTTCCATTGTTTTGTTTTGTAATCAATAATTAACAATACAGTACTTACCTGTAATCCTGATTTTTAGTTGTGGTAATTGGTGAATAGTTATATTTTACTATTGTTAACCCTTGTACTGTAGTAAAAAATGGGTTTATTTGTACCAAATTAATATTGCAGACAATTTTTTTTTATTTTCCTTCAGAGAATTGTAGAACATTTAGAAGATGCTACAACAACATACCTGTGGAGTGATTATCTCAGACTGAACACATCACACCCTTTGCTCATGAAAGACCTGGACCCCAACAACTCATCCCATGAGATGACACTTGATGACAGACTCGGTGTTCCTGTCAGATACAACATCTCTGGCATACATGTTCCTCTGGAAGTGTATGAAGGATGTAAGTTTTATTAGATTCTTATTTAGTGTTCACATATGACTGCTAAGATAAATAATTGTCCTTGTGAAAGAAAATCTTCATTTATGTAGATAAAAAGGTAGATATAGCATAGCTATATGAGCAGAAGCAAACTCTTTTATAGAATGTTATACCTGTACAGTACTCTTGATGTGTGTACGTACAGTATGATAAGGGTTGCTATTTATTTATCTTTAAGTGATCGGCTATATCTTGAAATAAAAGAAAAACTGTTTCATCATCAGTACAGTATTCTGGCACTGTACAGGTATTACTGTTTTAAAAATATTAGGTGAACCAGTACTGTAGACACCGGTGTTAATAGTAACTAAAAAATTATTTGCATCAACTTTATTTTTTCATAAATCAATAGATTTTATTTTTACAAAGAAAGTAATTTGAAACTTATGGAAGATATTGTGACATGTGAAATGTGTAGAAGAACTTTCTGTGATTTTTAGCACCAGTAGTACAGTATAACTATTGACAAATGGTTACCAATCATAAGATAGATTCATTAACTGGAGATTGGTATGAATTGTGAAACAATGCTCCTACTCATTCCTGAAATTCTGCATATATAATTAATTATTGTTCTTTTCTTTGTCAGATTTTGGGGTGATAAGTACTGTACTGTAGCACAGTACAGTACACCAAATTGAATTATTTACATTAATAATAGTTATCTAAGGATTTAGAAATGTCTAACAAAGTTAAATAAATTAAGTGTAAATTTTATATACCAAATTGATATATTGTACATTACTGTACTGTGCAGTACACTGATTTCTAGAGTGGGGATGATAGTTTAGCAACAGTTCAGTGCAGAATATGGAACAGGTGATTTTTAAAGATATATACGACAAGACAGTATATTGCAGTAATTGAAAACAAATAATTTGGGAAAAATTAAAAAAAAAATGCTTGCTGCAACCTATATTCATAAAACAGTATATATTGTTGGGATGTACAGTTGTTGTTATAATAAGGAAAATGAAGATTCTTTTTCCACAGTCATGTGAGTATATTAGATTTTAACTATTCTGCTGATGCTTTAGAAGTTTACATCTGTGACCCAGATATGTTACATATGAAAGTTTATAATGAAGTACCACATACATACATTAGGATTTTTAATTTCATGCATCTTTCTTAATCTACCCAAATTTTGTAAAGCGTAAAGCATTTAAGCAACCTTATGTATATACTGTATATACTGCATATACCAGTATATTTATATACTGTACAGTATACTTGTACTGTATATATACTGGTATATTTATATACTGTATATATATACTGTATATGTTGTATTACTTTATTCATTATAATGCATGCCATGTTACTCTGATCTTTCCTTTATCAGGGAAGTAATAGAGGAAAGGAGAAAAAGTGTTTTGACTGGAAAAAAGTTGAGCATGATATGATAATGATCACCTGAATCAGCTCATATTGTGATATGCTTTTTTTATATTTTTTATTGGATGTTGTTAGCTGCACTCTATTGTCATTCACTGGAGCAAGAAACACACTTTCCGCAACATTTGCGTGCTAAGGAAGGTTGTGCATCTTTTGTTTACCGGTAGATGTTTCACCAAATATTGCCACTACTGTACCATACGCTACATGTAATACTGTATACATACTGTTTTATATCACATTATAAAGGTGTACTATGAGGGCTTGAGCTGCCACCCTTCATGAGGGCCTGTGTGCCAGTAACAATTCCTTTTACTCTTATATATCACCATTGGTAGCGTGACGATAGGAGGCTCGTGGGTAGGTGTAATGATAGTATCAAGCAATAGGGAAGAAATAACGGTAAATACTGTAGGTAAATAATATACACAATTATACAAATACCAAGTTTATTTAAACATGAATATGAAATTAGAAGAAAGAATTGGTTTGTACTAACAGACGAAATCTATTGCTAGGCCCTCAGGCTCAACATACTCACACCATTACTGGGTGGACATATTCAATACCCTTCCAACCCTACTGGGTGGACATACTCAATAGCACAACTAGGATAGTCACTTAGCACCATACATACTAGGGCAACTGCCACTACAACACTCAGTCGTCAGGAGTGATACTCAAGCAACAGCCATGGGGTCCAGCCACCATGGAGTACTATCCGACGAACTCTGGAGATCCCAGTGGGTTAATTCCACCACACAAATATAGCCCTACTGAGGTAGACATTCATCCACCAATGATGGGGGCTGGTAGTGGTGTGTGGCTTGGTGGTCCAGGGTCACCTCGTGGACCGAGCGTTAGGCCCAGACGAGCCAGCTATGGGGGCTATAGGTGGTCTGAAGTGTCTGACGGCCGGGTCTCACGAAGGTAACTGATCCTACTGGACCTCGGACATGTCCCCAGACATAGTGGATACAACATCCACCCTACAGACACGGCCTAGGCTGCGTTAGGGACCTGTATGGATGAAGGGACGGGCACTTACTAACGGTTAAAATGCCCGCGGCGCCCTCACTCAAACTAGACCAGGGAGTCCAGCTACTCCTATTCCAATGAATTAATTTACGGTACCCTCTGACGTTGAAATTGAGACTATGAACTCATTTTCATTCTCTACTATTATCTTCACTAACAATGCTCTGACTCAGCTATCGAAAGCAGAATTAAATTGATTACAAAGGAATGGATGGCAACAGGTCCCAGCATACAGCGTCTGCTCCCATAGACAAAGGCGGGGGAAACAGAGAAAACGGGGGACGTTTCCACTGGGGGACTCGGAAGGTTTTGTGGACGTTTGAGCGTAATATGAATCCTTAAGGTTTTCAGGTTAGCTCTTATCATGACCATTACAAAGCTTCCTCCTTCCCCAAGATTCATCATTATGCGGTAACGTTCAGAAAACACGTAAGTAGTGACATACATATTAAATCATTAATATAAAGTATAAATCCTCATACAAACATTGCACAAATTATATCAATAAAACTAGAAAAATAATTCCCTACCGGTGGTCAGGATTAGGTACAAGAAATGGAAATCTGTTAACATACAATTAGAATGTGACACACCTTCATAAAAAATATATTGGGATACATATTACAAAATAGCACCAAAAATAATAGCACATGGGGTTAGGTCCATCATGTCATAATAATACTGAATGGCGGTAAATACATCATATCATATAATAATAAATGGGGTTACATACATAATATCATATAATAATAAATGGGGTCAAGTACATCATCATAGAATAATAATGATTTGAGTTAGATACCTCATATCATATAATAATAATAATAAATGGTGTTACATGTTACAAAATACACCCTCACATCGGTAGATAAAATGCACACTCAAATTTCCTTACAGAACTCAAATTTCAATGTTCATAGATTATGAAAGTTTCTTTTACGCGATTGGTCAAATGCTGACAGGACACACTGAGATTTAACATAGATTTCTCAAGCTAGGACATAGACGAACGGACCCCATCAAGTCAAAGGAATGATTTGTTGCCCTTAATCTTAAGAGTTATGTCGCACTCGCGAGAGGCAGCACCCTTCAAGGGACTCCGAACGAGCGGGTATTCCCAAGAATTCAATGCTAACGAAACGGTCCTCATGAGAACACCACCAAACCAAAAACTGTCTGTACTTATGGCATTTGCCATGTAGAAGTAATAGCACCACATTTATATGCCCAAATACTCCCTGAAAGTCACGCACTCTACACCTATATACCAACAACACCCAGCCTACGTAGGACTTACCAACCAGAACTTGAGAACTCACCACTGGTATCTTTACTCATACTAGTAACAGATACCCTTCAGATGATTGCATAACTGCCAATCCATCTTCCAATCTCTGTCTTTACTGCAAATTGACCCTTCCTCTGCAAAATACTTTTAATAAAAAAAAATCATCAGTTCTTTACCTATCCCTTTTCCACAGTTACTTATAACTGATTGTGCACTTCATTATCAACCAATGGGGGTCACTTAAAAGCTCACTGCTTTTAAAGATCCAGTCTAACCACTGGTTTTCTCCTCCTTTACCCATGGCTTTAGCGAGTTTAGCCAGAAGTGCTTGGACTTTTGTTGCTAAATCAACAGCGGCTTTGGCCGTCATGGTCCCCTTATTTGCGTTAGCATCTGCCATTGTGTTACAACAAATCAATACTACAGGTATACCCCACTGTAAATACAATACATGCACAGTGCTCACTCAAGACCCCAGGACTGGTACTGATTTTCTGCAATACGACTAACACTCCATGCATCAACTATTCAAACTACTGTTCAGATTATTAATCTCCCAAAAGATAATATTATGGCATCAAAAATTCACTTAGACACTTTGCCATTCACAGACTCAGTATGGTGCAACACTGCGTGAACACTTCACGAATGTCCGTACTCACAATTCTGGGTCCATACACTTGTATAACATTTTCCATATACCGTATCACCATAAGGTCCTCACATATATAATACTGTATTCTGAAAGTATACTGGCATTAGAGTTCACATAACATACGTTACACAAACTAATGACCCGTTAGCACCTGGTTAAAATAACTTTAAAATTATAGCGTATACATAGGAATATTAATAGTAGGAACTGTAAAATGCCTTGAGATATTAAGTAAATGGAATATATATCCTACCTAACACATAACTAAAGAATATGACAAGTATAGAATTAGCATCCACTTAACCTTTGCATATAGTGCACTGCTTCTGTTAGCACTCAGAATTAAAACACTGGGCACTCCCACGATGGAACATTTCACAACTAGTGCCACGGCCCAAACATGTATTCACTGTCTATAAGTAATACTGAGTTAACAACGGAAAAAAAAATTTGGGGCAGATTGTTACATATCAAAATTCTTCCAATATTAATGAACCTTATTCACACTCCACAAGTTATTGTTGCAGGTTTCCTTTTACTTTAAACAAGACTTTTCTAACCTAACTCCAAGGTATTTCTTTG